AGAGGAAGAAGGAGAAGAAGAGGAAGGAGAAGCAGAGGCGAAAGAAGAAAGAGAAAAATAATTAGAAGAAAGAGAAAGATGGGAAAGTAGAAGAAGAGAAGAAAGAAAGAAAAAAGCTCATCTCTAGGACCAAATCAAAGACGTAACCCGGCGGCGAAGAAGTGCCAAGTGCCCGGATGAGAAGTGAGAGACGCGATGAAAGTCAAAGTAAAGTTCAGTCAAGTTAAGAAGACGAGTTCTTGGATTTTTTTTTTTTTTTTTTTTTTTTTGTGTGACCGGTTAAAAGACTGAGACTTCATATGCTAAGAATTCGATTGAATAACTATGGACTTGATACCCATGTACATTTTTTTTTTAGCCTGCTTTACGTTTCAAATGTAAATAATTTCTTTATATTTACTAATTTTTAAAGCTTGTTAATTAATTACCGATAAGAAAAATCTTTACATCACAATTCTTACTATCAACTTTATCATCACCATTACTATTATCATCATGAAGAATCATTGTAATTCAATGAAACTGTTTTGAATTTAAACCTTGAATCCGAATATAACCATTATCATTATCAACAACGCTACAACTATAAATAATTCAGTATATGTAACTAAGTGTATCGAATCTAATTTTTAATTCGAATACCACCATTAATATCATCAACATCACTGCTGCAATTGTAAATCATTTCACATATGTAACAAAGTTTTTTTTTTTTTTTATTCAAATCTTTAATTGGAGTACCACCACCATCATTATCAACATTAGCACACCTACCAACCTTTTTTAAACCTTCCATAGAGCCTTTTAAGAGAATTTCGCTTTCCAAAAGGCTAAAACCAGTTTAATAATATCCAACGTAGCCATATGATTTGCATCACTATTTATGGCTAAATAACCCGTTTTACTTTTAACTTCCCATCAGCTATTTACCTCTTCAGCGCACAGGAAGCAGAACTGGCAGTTAGTCAGACAACAGGGCAAAAGAGGAAACATTTTTCCTTCAATTAATTGGCGATTTTAGACACTCTGATCCTCAAGGAAGGCAGACAGGTATCCTACACTTCCTTCACGACACTGAAACCTCTCAGATACAGGACTTCCGGACAAGGATGCAACAACATCACCCAAGGATTCTAGAACACTTGGTTTACTATTTGCGAGGGCAGGCGATTTTCACCTCTATGGGCTCTTGGGTTTGGGATGCTGGACGTCTGGTTATTAATA